GGGCTCGCAAGAAAGGCACGTGCACAATATGGGAGGCAGTTCTAAGCGGTTGAGGCATGTGTCTTGCAGTTGGTGGCGGTTTCAGACAATTGTTGGCATGTGCATGGCATGCAGGGCAATTTTGTACAGAATGCTGACATGTGCACAATATGAGAGAATTGTTGGCATGTGCACACAACATACACATCAATTATGGGCAGTTGCTAGTTGGGTTAGCCAACAGTTGCAACTGCCCCCTTCCATGACTTACACATTGTGAGAGTGGCAGAAGGAGTTAGCCATGATCAGTAGAGTTTTGGGGACAAATCTGATGAGTGCTTGCATTGCCTAGGCAGTTGGGCTTATAACCGCCACTTTGTATGCTATATATAGGCATGCTAGAGTCTACAGTACAACCAAGAGAGATTGTACACGTTTTGTAAGTAGACCCCTAGTCAGATTTCTTTTAGGCTTGCTAAGAAGTAAAAAGTTTGGTCATTTGGCCTATAAAGCTTGGGTACTACTGTGAGTTTGTGTACTTGCCCATTTTCTATTCGTATGTGTATTTGTATGAACATTTGAGTGCATTGACTGAGATTGAGTGTCGGATCTCAGTGCTATCACAAGGCAAAATTAGAATAAAAATTTGACTCCCGTGACACTAGCAAATATGAGGTTGGACCCTCGTAAGAGAGACCATACCAAAATATCATCGGAGATTGTAAGTGAACATCGTCATATCTGTGTTCAATTGGCGTGTAAGTATGTGTATATCAAGTTTACGTCGTAGTCACGAGTTAAAAAACGAGTAATTAAGCCATCATGTCAGCCAATTAGAGTCAATATTGGAAGTGGACGTATATTGGTTGGTGCAACATCACTACAGCTAATGGTCCTAAGCATCTTTCTTTTGTGGTGGAGTATTAAAGTTTGAAGAAGCAAGCAAAGACAGACAAGAAGTAACAATGGATGTAACTGGATCTCAATCATTTTTGACTAATCCAACAAAATGAAGCTCCGTCTACCTTGTTAGATGTTGATCTCCCTTCACATGATAACCATAAGCTTTCTCTATGCTTATCTCAAGCATTAATTTAATGGGGCCCATGCAGTTTGTAAGTTTCATCACCATCACTATATGGTAGACTAATTACTATTTGGTCAGACACCAAAATGAAGTGTTAAAAAGGGCTAAGAATTTTCCTTTGATACCGATAACATGGCATGGCGAGTGGAGAGAGCAAGTTATAATGAAAGAGAATCCAGCAGTCGATTTTGTATTCAGTGATCCCAGAATAACAACTTGATGCTTTGGAGGCTCTTATTTATTTTATGGTACCTACTAAAAGGGGTATCAATTGGGTTATGTCATGTTATATTAGACACGTCTTATTTCAAATTTTTGTCGTATTTGTATGATTGTATAATGCGTGAACTAAAAACCATATGATAAGGACGGCCCCTTTGTTTCTCAACTAAAAACGTCAAACATAGGCCTTTTACAGGTTATAATGTTAATTGATTAACATATTAGCAAACCCAAATAAAAATTTATTTAATTCTACAATAATGGATACAAAGCTAGATTTGCAAATGAAAAAAAAAAATAAATTAGACATTTTCTTCATAAATAATCAGATGAATTTACCTTCTTTAATCGAGTTATTTGTGTTTGATGCTAACACAATCTATTTATAATTTGTATTAAAATTCATATTATTTTAATATTTATGTCGTGTTAGATTATGTTCACATAGTCGACACTTAACATTTATATGATCGTAGCTGCCTCTCCGTACACTAGTATACAAATGAGTACCAACATCAACCCTTCAAAGCAATCGTATTTGACTTATGTCTGTGCACATGGGATTCCATCCTTAAAACTGTTGAGTCACATATATTCGATGATCTAGATTGCTATTCATATCGATTACCGAAAGATTATATTTTGGAAAATTTTCAGTAATGCATTTTTTAATTTATTATATTTTCAAAGATATCTCTTCTATTATTAAAAATATAATTGACACCTTTTGTCATTAAATTATTATTTAAAACCAAAATAAAATATCTCAAATACCAAAATTGTCTCTATATAAACCCCAAATAATTTTTCTATATAAAATTTGAGCCGATTAAAATTTATTTTTCTATATATTAAAATTCAAACTGATTAAAATTTGAGCCTATTAAAAGTCTTTTTTTTAGATATTAAAATTTGAGCCAATTTGAGCTCTACTTTAGTTGTTAGCCTCGATAAAATTCACTTCGAATCAATTAAAATTTATATTTTTTATTTATTAAAATTCGATTCAAGTTGATTAAAATTTATTTTTTAAATATTAAAATTTCAATCAATTAAAATTTATATTTTTTTATGTATCAAAAATCTAGCCAATTAAAATTTAATGTAAGTTAATTAAAATTTGATTTGATCATCGAATAGAATTTTAATTGGCTCAAATTTTAATACATAAAAAAATATAATTTTTAGTCGACTCAAATTTTAATTAGTTCAAAACGAATTTTAATAGGTCGGAATTTTAATACGTAAAAAATTTTTAAAAAATTGAGGGGGTCTCATTGAAGATATGTGCAATTTAATAAAATTGTATTTTAATAAACACTTTTAATTTGACAGAGAGTATCAGTGAAAATTCAAAAAATAAAGGTGGTGTCCTTAAAAATATAATAAACTAAAAGAAGTGTAGCTGAAATTTTACTTTATATTTTCAACTTCTTGAGGTATGAGGGATTTGTATTTTAATTTTGGTTTGGATGACATGTTTTTAACCAAACCGGAGAGGTTAATCGAAATGTACATAAGTTGATTCAGACATTTTTGACCGTTGAAAAAAAAAAATTATAACTCTATGGCCTAAACCATCATGCATTATTGCAATAATTTTTCTTTTTTTTTTTTTTCTTTTTTGGTACCTTTTTTATTTTTTTTTATGAGCACAAGAAAAAAAAACTTTAATATTCATTTGCGGAAAAACAACTGCCACTCTCTATTACAATATAAATGAATACCAATATAAACTAAGGTCCCTTCAAAGTGATAAGTGAGATTCGTTTCGGTTGCGGCTCTTCTTTTGTTGATATATTAACAGCACACGATATTGCCAATGAGAACGACACCGTTTCATATGTCATGGACCCACAAACAAAATATCAGCACGAGAACGTCACGTTGCGGTTTCTGCGTTTCATTGAAAATTTCAATCATTTGAGTTTTAGCCTATTCGAGATGCACAGCCACGGACTCTATCCATAAAACACATAAAGTTAGGGATATCGAATCGGGGTAGGGTTATAGTTTTCATTCTCGTGCTCACTTAAAAAAAATTTGTTCGTTTCCGGTCCATCTCTGCAAACGGAGATAATTTTCATCCCCATCTCCATTTGCGGATAAATTTATAATCCTCGTCTCCGTTTCTGTCCTCGCTTTTCCCGTACTCACTCAAGCCTCAGCTTAAACCTAAGCCCAAGTTCAAGCCAACATAATCTAAAATTCTAAATAAATTTAACATTTTAAATAATCCAATAACATTATAAATAATTTAACACAACATAATATAACATAACATATTCGAACATAACAAATATCACAAATATCTAAAATACTACTTAAATTTGATATAATTTAACATTACACAACATAACACAAATAACATAACGGGTGGTAGAATCATTAATTAAATATCTTCATGACTTAAGATGGAAACTATAGTAAGACTCGGAAATAGTAAAAAAACCAATGTCACAAGGTCGAGTACTCATTATTTTATCGCTATGATATTGAAAAAAGACTGGAAAATAGAAGAAAAATCATTAAATTTGTTTGTTTGCTCTATTCATTAAAAAAGAACATAACCTTCATCCATCAAAATCAGTACAATGACGAAATCAAGTTGTGTGAGTAAATGTAACCAAATGCATATCTCTAAAGATCATTTATGAAAATACTTATTCGTCAAAAAAAAAATATTTGATGAGCATGTTCTACATAAAAATATAGAGTAATATTATTTCTTGATGACACTCGGACAAATTAATCTATGACGGTTGTGTATACTTTTGCATTGTGGTGCTTGCATTTTTATTATTAGGCCTGAACACTGAGACCTAGCATATGTAATTAATTTATGCTTTAGCAGAGTTGAACTCAAATGGTGTTGCCAATTGTAAAATTAATTAAAGCGCTTAAGAAATTATGTGAAATGAATCATGGATGTTTGCGTGAAGCATTGGATATCACACAAAGAATATAGAGAAAAATGGTTTATGTATCCAAAAAGAGTAGTAATCAACCTGAACCAAGCACATATTAGGGCTTGGCTTTTAATTGAGAGTATATATATATATATATATATATATATATATATATATATATATATATATATATATATAACGGGTAACGGAGATGGAGTAGGACGGGGACGGGTAAGTCTATCCCCGCCTTCATTTCCGTGCGGGTTTATACAGGTATCTCCGTATACGTCTATTGTCCAACACGTATAGTTCATCCCCAATCCAAACAAAACGATTTTAAATGAATACCTATTTTTTTTCGATCTCCTGCCATCCCTACTTAAAGTCACATAAATTCGACGTAGATAGCCACTAATATTGATTATTGACAGATTAGACCGCCATGACCAAAAGCCTCATACATTATCGCCTCTCTCTCTCTGTTTCTTTTTTTTTTTTTTTCCTCTCCTTGGATACGAAACCTCTGAAATGGTTGGCTAACATCCATGTTCATCTAATCAAAAGCTTCTTTTTTTTTTTTTTGGGTACCTGAATCAAAATATATTTTTTTTCGATTTGATCAAAAATAAGTTATTCACATTGAGATTAGGGTATTCAGGAGAGATATATCCTTCTCACCCTAACCTTAAGGAATTATCATGATTAAATTTTAGACATCTGACTTTACAACTCGTCCCTATTATCACTTAAATTATCATTCGATTTTATCAAGAGCTTTCACCATCTATAAAATGAAACACACACTCTGTTCTCAAACAAGCAATAACAGAACCCACAATGGCCATAATACTATTGATGTTTCTTGCCGTGGCTCTAGCTCCATGGTCGCATGGACTGAGCCAAACTCTCAATGACCCTTCTTCTTTAGTCTTCACGTCAACCAAATTCGATTACCATGGAGGCCCGCTCTTATCCGGGCCTAGGGGCATCAACATCTATCTCATCTGGTATGGAGCCTTCTATAAGAAAGATAGAATCCCCATCACTGATTTCTTTGCTTCCTTCTCTCCTATGGCACCCATTCCCCATCGACAAAACCCGACCGTTGCGACTTGGTGGAATACAATCAAACTATACAAGGACAAGGCTGGCAAACCGGTTTCTAGCACTGTCAAGCTTGTTAAACAGCTTGGTGACATAGGGTATTCCCTGGGGAAGAACATTAAACGTGCCCAAATAGCAAGCTATATTAAGAACAAGATAGAAAAGAAAACATTACCATTAGACCCTAATGGCATATACTTGGTTCTGACCTCTGAAGATGTGCTTGTAGAGCGGTTTTGTATGGGATCCTGTGGTTTTCACGGCAGCCTCAGGGTATCATCAGGCAGAAGAGTAGTGTATGCACAGGTGCAAGGTTTTTCTTCTTATGTTATTGTTCTTTTTATATTTAATTCTACCCATACAGTAATTTCTAACTTGTTTCGTAGTTTACTATTGTTAAAAAACATTAATGTCTTGTTTGGTTTGCATATCAGAAACTACTTTTTTGTTTTCAAAAACAGTTTCTGAGAGAAAAGTTGTTTAGCCAGCATTTTTTTGTTTTTATCTGTGAACAAAAAGTAAATAGATTTAAAGAACAAGTTAAGACTGTTTTGTGTGTTTTTTAGAACAACTTTTTTAGAATTTAGAAAACACCATCACCATCACCACCTCCACCACACTTCCACTACAACCACATTTCAATTTTCATTGTTTTCTAAGTTACTGTTCAAACAAGTTTTAATGTTTTTTATTCCGTAAAACTGTTTTTGATATCATATAACCAAACAAGTTATGCGACACAAAAAAAAACATTTTTTAAAAACCCTTCTAAAAAATAATTTTGAATATTATTTTTTAAGATGCAAACTAAACAAGATTTTGACTCATAATATTCAACATAAAAAAACATTTCTGCAAAATAAAACATCAGAGTTTTGCATTGAATGCATATTTTATAAAAAAAAAAAATACATTGAAAAACGTGAGTTTAGTGACTCTAGACCACGTTCTCGTAAAAATAACATGGGAAAGAAAGAATATATAGTTCAAAATCCACTGAAATTTGGTAATTGATTCCACAGGTAGGAGACCCCTTAAGGCAGTGCCCGGGTCTCTGTGCATGGCCTTATGCCATCCCAGCTTATGGTCCACCAGGACAGGTTCTAGTGGCACCCAATGGTGTTGGAACTGATGGTATGGTCATGAACATTGCAACAATACTTGCAGGAGCTGCCACCAATCCTTTCAAGAATGGTTATTTTCAGGGTGATGCCTTGGCACCATTGGAGGCTGTTACAGCATGTCCGGGAATTTTTGGTGCAGGAGCTTATCCTGGTTATCCCGGGAATTTGATGGTGGATAAAATGACTAAGGCAAGTTATAATGCTTATGGAGCCGGCGGCAGGAAGTTCCTTCTTCCGGCCATATGGGACCCACTGCGCTTGATTTGCAAGGTGGTTGCTTGATTTCAGATATAGTAGAGCGGGTCATATATAAATCCTAATATCATTTATGTTACTTAAACCAAATTTACTGAATAAATAAACCGACTAAATCAATTATCCTTGGATTCAGATACTTTCAGTGGATCTGGTCCAACATTAGGAGTAACTATCAATCCACAACTGAGGTGGGCACATCAACTAGTCCATATATCTCTGTTACTAAATCGCAACTAGTGCATATATCACAATTATTTATAATCAAAGGAAGTTCATGGTTAGTTACACATACCTGAAGGATTAATGTAACAAGTAACAAACCTAGGATAACTTTCTACAAAACCATAAGGTCCCACATGAAAAATATGCAACGGTATCACAAATAGGATTATAAAAGCCGACATTTAGGAATACAACACAGCTGCAAAACCGTAGGTTTAACCAACACTTCGACGTAAAAGCATGTTTGAAATGTTTTTGTGAACAAACTTTTACATTGAAAAGCGTGGATTAAATCTACATTTTCAATAATCAAAGGAAGATTGAGAAATAAGTTAGAAAACACTGCAAGTATAAGCATGAAAATAAGAGTTATTTTTGATAAAAACTCAACATACAACAATATGGGCTCGTCCGTAGTCCACCAATACTGCTGCTGTGCTGCATCAATTGAACTTCGGACTTGCCAATGACACCCATAATGCGAGTGGCCCAAAAATGTTCACGTGTCCTTCCTTCCCATACTACGTCATAAAAATGTGGGAGGCCTTGTCTACTAAGCCATTCGCATGCCGTATCACTGGTTTGACACGGAAGATACTAGCCAATGGTTGAGAGAATCTTGAGAAAATTGTTTATTTGGGGAAATTTTTTTGAATGGACATTTAAGCTTTATTCTCGATTCCAACTGTTTGAGCAAGATTGGGAAAAACGGATTAAGTATGCTCAAGTCAAAATCAATTCTAAAAACTTGACTCTTTCTGAAGAGGTCAGTCGGAGGGACCAATCATTTTCTCTGGCATTACGAGTTTATCAAATTCTTCAGAAGTCAGCACTCCTAAATTCAAAGCAGCATCCTGCAGAATTGAAAGTTTTTGATAAATATATGATAGAAATAAAAACTTTCTAAAAATAGAAGTTACGTCACTGCCAATAGACATTTTTTTTTTTAGCAATGGGATCCACAAACCACTCACACTGGCCAATAGACATTTCAGTAATGCATAAGAAACGGGATATGAATGTCACCTTTAGAGTACTTCCCTCCTTGTGGGCTTTTTTAGCAACTGCTGCAGCATTGTCGTAACCAATTTTCTAAGACAAAAAACATCACAAGTTATTATCCAGACATGTAACCACATAGAAAGAAGGACCGGAAACAAAAGACAGAAAAAAACTTACGGGGTTCAAAGATGTGACAAGCATAAGCGACTGCAGATTGGCATTTTAAAAAAGAAAGAGAAAAGAACAGGGTCAGTCAGATTTTGGCTTTGACATAGAATATGGGATACATTACTGCTCTCTATCTTCCATAAATCAACTTACTTCGTGTAGGAGTTTTGATATCCTTTCCCTATTAGCTTGAATTCCCCTCACACAGTTCTTTTCAAGCGAAGCTGACGCATCCCCTAGCAATCTCAGTGACTTTGAGCAGCACATCAAAAAACACTTGATGAGTAGGAATAATGTGTACTCAATTAAACAGAGGAACACAGAAGACCACATCATATATTTAGGTCAGGAGAACTAAAAAAATTTGTTCATGCATCATGATCTAGCCCAAACCTGAAGTATTCCGGGTTCTAATTTCGTTAAAAAAACAACTTTGCCTGTTCTTACCCAATACTTGTCAAATCTTAACTTGGATGTTGCAGATGCTTTCAATATGCACTAAAACAAAAATGCTTTCATGTATGTTGAAATAAAAGTCATATGCCACAACCGACCAGCCATGGCTAATCAGGGGATGCAGCAGCTTATTAATTTTGATGCATCCCAGGAGAAGCATAAGCTCTAAAATTGCATGCTCTACTACGATATCTCACATACCAATTATAAATAATAACAATAAAATGAAAACATAACTTACATGTAGGAGACAACTAGCAATCATAGGCTTGAATACATTAAGCTCAAAATGGCCATTTGATCCACCCACTGTCATAGCCACATGGTTTCCCATAACCTTCCAGGCAGAGCACGACAATTGATTAACCGGCAAAGAAATTAATTAGGTTTTTGAACCTATGATCTAAAGAAACCAAAATAATGCATGGAATTTTACCTGAGCACAGACCATTGTGAGAGCCTCACACTGAGTAGGATTCACCTTCCCCTGAAAGAGTAAGCTCAAAAACATTACATCAAAAGGGAAAAGTTGTTGCTAAGTCTAGCCATGCAGTATAAGTCCACATATTCAATCCTGAAACGGAGGTAGGTGAATTTACAGGCATGATACTGCTCCCAGGTTCGTTTTCAGGAAGAATGAGTTCCCCAAGACCGCAACGCGGACCACTAAATTAAGGAAAAGGATGTGAAAACTCCAAATATAAAGCAAAATAATGAAGAAGTGAAGTTAAACCAACAAGCACACCTTCCTAACAAGCGTATATCATTTGCAATCTTCATTAGAGAAACAGCAATTGTGTTCAGGGCCCCACTGGTTTCAATGAAAGCATCATGTGCAGCCTGGCAACATGAGAAACATAAGAACATAAACAAGTTGTCATCAACAATACAGAGTTTATAAGGGCAAACATAGAGTAACATTGGGCTATAATCTCCTTAAGTTTATTATTTTTTGAGGAACCATCTATGTTAAGTGATAGATTATTAATAATTCTACTACTTAATGCCTTAATCTTCAAATTAGAAAAACTTCACGAAATCAACATTTAGAACAGTAATATGCAATATTTTTATTGACTGAAATATTTATCATACGAGAAATATTAAGGACATTAATATAATAATAATAAGGACATTAGGCACTTTCGCGCAATCAGTAGATACTTTCTAATATTTTCTGTGATAGAAAAATATAAATTATCTAGCAAAAAAAAAAACACCTCGGCAATATGTATGCATGTTTATTTTTATTGTGAAAATCATATGTGGGAGCAATTTTTTTCATTAATGAAACTCACAAAGAAATCTATTATTTCACTACATTAGTTAATAAGTTTTGGGTCCCCCAAGATTACTCGTTATTAAAGAGTCAATTGTTTTTCCTTCTAGAAACCCAGTAACAAAGACAGAATATACTTCAGGAAAATTAGATAATAACCAGTGCTTCAAACTTGTTTTCAGCCGTTACAAATGGTAGTTTGGTTTCTTCAGCTATGGCTGCAGCAATCTTTACATCAAACCTGAACAGAAGTCACAGAATGACCAAATGAGACTAAGCAAAACAAAATAAATAAAAAAGCATAAGACAAGAGATAATTGATATATTGACAGAGTGAGAGGAGCATATAGCCAAATATTGGCACAGGTTGAGATTATTAGTGACTAGGTGGAAAAGGACTTTAGTTGTTTTACTTCTAATCAGTGATCCTAGTTCCACAATCACGACAGAGCAGAAATAACTCTGTCTCAGATATTTCTATCTCTAACACCCCAATGATTATTGTGGTATGTATGCCCCCGGATTTTCTCCCAAGCATTCAAGACGCGGCAAATTAATGTTTTAGTCTCTAACAAAACTAATGCATTTAGAGTTTGAAATATATGTCCTTCAGTACATCAGCTTCATGATTAAACAACAATCGAATAAATAAAACCAAGAAGTCCTGGTTATGTTTTGGTCCTCATAACCATACCTAACATAGCCAATACTGTGGATTTACATATATTAATATTGCAACTAGCAATTTGAATTGCACATTTATAAACGCATAACAATGATTGATATTAATCCAATCTTCATAGTACAACATTCATTCCAAATAAACTTTCCTGCCCAAAAACATCTTCCCTGCATTAGCCTCCAATATCAGACAACTTAACCAACACACTCTCCAATACTAGACAACCCCACTAATCCACACCTACCTCTATCTCTCTCCCCACCTCTCTTATTTTCTCTCTGTCCACTTTAATTTTAAATTTCATAATTAAAGAAAAGGAAAAAAATAAATTGTTATTTAAAATACAAATGTTGCATGTTTGGTTTACTGTATTGCAGAGTGTCTTCCGCCACGAGTTATTGCTAGTTATACAATATTATATCAATGTAATCTGGAAGAATTTTTAACTAGAAGTATTCTGACTTAGGGCCACTGTTGGTGTTGTGGTAAAAAAACTGGACCTTCAACCAAGAGAAGGCAAGTTTCAGTCAGAAGGCAGCCATATCGCACAAATGTACAGGCCTCATTCCAGTTTACCTATCAAGCATCCTTGATTAATGGGAAAAACAATTTACTTCATCCATATTGACTAGGGAAGATTGAAGATATACACTACAAAAATAAACATCACCAACACTACACTAGACCTACTATCAGAAATGCCCTTTTCATTGTCCATCTGGTTACATAAAAGAAAAAATCAAGTCAAGTGCATTAACTAGAATACAAACAATGGGCTCAGCAAGTAGTCCATTGGCATGTTCATCATGGATTTGAAGGTCTTGCGCTCAAGGTATACAGCATGCTTGTCCCCTCACAGATTATCCTAGTAACTATCTGATGCACGTGGGATGGCAGAACTGCACATGTCCATGAGAATCTATCAGATGCTTAAGAGGCTCAGATACCTCCTCGTTTGAATTTGATGGGGGCTCAACTTATTGGATACTGGATAGTATCCACTTCTAGTGAGTGTCAATCGAATTATATTCAACAGCTCCGAGCAACATGGTTTATGCCGGTTCGAGAAGATGAAAGACAACTGAGTGCATGCAAATGAGAAAGCACTGGACATGACCAGATATTTAACCCCAAAAAAAGGAGAAGAAAAAAAAATGCTCAGAGATAACCCAAAATATAGAGTATGCTCATTGGTCTTGAGGATAGATATGTGCAATCAAAATCAAATGGGTGGAACGGTGCCCTTCCGCTAATTCATCGGTTAAGGAAGGCAATGATCTTATGCATGTCGCAATACATGATGAAGGTTTGTAATTTTTTAACCAACAGATCTCTTCTTTGCAATTATTCTAGGACATATAATAATTATCAAGGCTCCTTTGATACATACCCTTTCTTTGTGTTCAATCCAGTCCCTACAGCAGTGCCACCCTGTGCAAGCTGCTCAGATGATATCTCCAATCTGTTAGAACTTGTAGGAGGGGATTTTTCTTCTCTATTGGAGATTTTGCTAGGTGGAGTGGGTTTTTTTTTGTGGGTGTGGGTGTGTGTGTGTTGGGGGAGGGGGGATCTTTTAGGACATAACAAACATTAACTGCCAACCTGATACATTCGAGGCAAGGTGCAAATGACTCGATCAATTCCATACTTCACCTGCAATCACAGAGAATCAATTCCATGAATCCATCCCGACAAATCCAAGAGAGGGTCAAAGCAGTGGAAACTTACTTGAGTGGCATAGCCACTAAATTCTTGTCCAAGTGTCAAAGGTGTTGCATCTTGAGTGTGTGTACGCCCAATTTTAATAATGTCTTTGAACTCAACTGACTGGGAAAAATTTCACAAAATAACCGGAAATAGTAGTTGTGCTGTAACTGCAGATGTGTACATCTATGGACAATCAGGAAAAAATGTTGGTGCACATAAACAAAAAAGCTTAGAAGTTGGTCATGAATATTTCTTTTATGACAATCATACGTCTGCAAGAAAAAATAGTCCAACCATTAAACTTCTTCTTGATGATTGATGGACAGTGCAAGAGAAAGCACTCCATATGACAATGTAATTTCTCGTTATACAATGTTTTTTTTTTTGGGTAAGTCTCATTATACAATGGTACATACATCTTATTTATAATAACAGCAGATGCATTCTGATAAGACAATGGATGTAATGCTATATTACAGCATCTTATAGAAATCATAATAGCAAACTAAAAGGAAATAATACCCACAGCTTTTTAAAACCGGTAAAAAATGGTCGGCCAAAACTTTTGGATAATCATGAAAAAATGAAAGGGCATAAAATTTTAATTGAAGGGGCACACACACCGAGTTGAACAGAATCAGAAGTTTAATTAGGGCAGATATATAGAAAGAGCTTTGGCATAATAGGCCTGTCCATGATCAAATCTCCCAAAGAAATCTGAGGAGCGCCTAAACCTTTTATAGATCGGAGCAACGTGGAGTGCATAAGCCACTTTAGAGACAGTGGTGACATTCTTCCGATGGTAACAAGCAATACAGCTATCAATTTCAGCTTGCTTGTAAGTTATCAAGAATATAATCTAACCTTTGAATGCAATGAAGTGTGCAATTGTTTCAAATTTGGTACTAATCTTGCATTTACTTCCATTGCAGCTGCAATGTGCATTACCTGCACATGACAACCAGATAACTGGTGAAAACCCAGCAAGAAGATGATAAACCAACAATAAAATTGATTAGCGGTTCACAGATGCTTTAAAATTAAAATAAGTTTCCTTCGAAGTGCTTACAGTTGGGAATGTGTCATTAGAAGATTGTGATCTGTTCACATGGTCATTTGGATGCACAAATTTTTCTCCTCGCTTATGGCCAAGAATTTCAGCTGCTCTATTTGCAATAACCTGTAAAGGACATAAAATGCAGCATAAACCTAGATACATAAATATATATATATATATATACTTGTATACCTTGTTGAGAGATTAATCTGTGGACCGCATGCACAATCTCAAAAAAGAGTGCATATCACAAAAATTAAAAATATAGTAAATGGATGATTAATACAACTATGGTTCAAGGCCACAACTGTATCGGCAGTAACTCAAAGGGCATTGAGACAAATAGGCCATAGGTCGCGGAATAGTATCAGACGATATATACGAAATGTTCGATAGACAAAGTTGAATATGACAAAAGATGTTGGCTAGGCATCACAAAGCATCGGTTGATTTGATAACAATAACTCAACTGACCCGAGATTAACTCGAAGACGTTTCGGACTACCCGGCCGAGTAAGGCGAGAGTCATGATTCTCATAGAACGTGCGCCAATATCAGAATGAAAGATTTCAAGTCAAATACGACTTAACAAATCGTATCTGTATTAATTGATACCCCAAACCATAAACATAACAAGTCACCATTAAAAATGCAATTTGTATAAATATTGACCAAAACTGTTTTAAATACATTAATATCTCACCCATAGGCATTTTTGAAGATAATTGTCCCCAGTGATCACTGAGTGAAACCCAAAGTAAATTTTACAGCAGCCTGTTAGTGGTGTGATCACACTCAGTATCAGCAAAGGGTGTCAATGGGTCAGGTAGTGTCTAAGATGTGTCATGTCAAAATTTGCCAAGTTAATAGCTTCACCCATTTACTATTTAAACCCGCCAAGTTCAAAACTCAAATCTGCTAATTCCACGTTGATTTCGTGTCAGGTTCACAAATCGTGTCTAGAATTGCCATGGCTAGTGTCGTTCTATAGCAAGTATAGTTCATGAATCAACTACTAAATCAATAGTTTTATTGATGAACAAGCAGTCAGTCCAAGCCACCAACAAATTTTCAATTGACATAAATCACTCTCTCTCTCTCTCTCCCCCCCCCCCCAACAAAAAAAAAAAACTCCACTTCTCTCTCAGGCACACATTATTCATAGAGACATTGTGGATCTTGTGTCCTCACAATTGTGCAGCACTGAAAGATTGCTCAACAAGATGAAACATCAATATGTGTATCAACCAAACAAGTAGGGTTGATAAAAATCATCCAGGGAGTAAGTTCAACAACTGAATTGTTTTTTTCTTTCTTCACATGGCGACTTGATCGATGGTTCGAACTCCAAGACTCCACAGTCAAAGCACAAATAAACTTTTGAGAGACAGTACACACTCAGCCAACGCAACTAGACAACGCACCATTACACATGGTGGTCTAAACTATCTACAAGATTGTATATTATCTTCTTGCTCTGCCAAACAACTACATCAATTGCTCAAGCACCAAAGTCAGTTGGCCAAAGCACCAACCAATATTTCACCAGTGCACTCCAATTTCATCATACTTGTATATTGCAACAATCTAAGCATCTTGATGTCATCATCACAACCTTGCTGCAGAAAGCCTAGAAACATGGAAGGTCCCAGGAAACCAACACGATCCCTAGCTAATTCCCCACACAGCAGCCATCAAGTTTCCATACCCCTACCCATATAATTCTACTGGTTTACACAGATCAATAACAACCATCATAAGACGTTAAATGTAACTATGCTATCACAAGACCAACAAGTTATTGCATGACAGTTCTAACAGTATTGGACGATGGTCAAATTGATTACTTAGGCTGCGCATAACAAAGGATAATATCCAAAGGTCACAATGAATCCCATGTACTATACTTTCAGCCAAAAGTCAAGCAAAAGACAATGTCATCATTAAGCAACCCCCAGAATTGCTTCAGACACAATACGATAATGACAACAGACCATAATATGGCATTAACTCATTGGATGATCCAGCCAACTTAACCCGCATGGACCCTTCTCTAAAATTATTTTTTTGCAACCATGTGTGCATTTCTGAAAGACTAATGAGAGTAAACGCTAAAAGAATCCACTGGTTTTCCAAAAAATAAAGCTAAATTGCAACTTGCAAGACCTTGCAGTGTCAACATATGTTCCACAGGATTAGGGAGTAAACCAATTAAAAAATCTTCACAACCCACATTTTGTCAATTAGACAACCAATAAGACCACAGCTGATACCATGATATCAAATTTTCAACCAAACGACACAATTGCCTGTGACCAGAAACTATCTGCTTAAAAGTTATCCAAGCAACCTAAACCAGAAAATCTGAAAAAACGTGAATTGTATGCCTGAGATTACCTCATTGGCATTCATGTTACTTTGAGTGCCGCTGCCAGTCTGCCATACAACCAGTGGGAAATGATCATTCAACTTTCCCTCTGCCACGTCCTGGGCAGCATGCATTACTGCTTTCCCAATTGATGGATCAAGACCATAGTCCATGTTCACCTACAATATAAGACAAAAAATTCATCCCATGTCAGCAAATGAAACAAATCAGCCAGATAATTTATTCAGTTCATTAGCATGTTAAACAATAAATTAAAGTTTGAATTAACACTCAGTTTCATAATCATGGCACGAGGTCAAACCAGAGAGATCAACTATTTGTTTTAAATCTACAAAAGACTGAGCAACATGGTGGAGGATTTGTACATTAAATTGCCAATAAAAAAACCAACAGAACGTGTAGATGCTCTGGCAACGAAAAAGGAAGACATGCAATCTCCTAAGCAACCTTGGCAACACATTTTTTAAGGACGCCAAAGGCCCGAATGATTGGTTCAGGCATTCTTTCCCGGTCGCCTCCAATATCAAAATTCTGCAAGGATCTTTGAGTTTGAGCCCCCCATAATCTGAGAGATACCAGTGAAATAAACGAATCAAAAAATTAAGTATCAACAATTGAATATATGTTGTACACATATCTAACATCAAACGCCAAAATTTTCAAAAAAAAAATAGGAATTTCACATGATATAAATTAAAAAAAGTTGAGGGATGGCCATTCAAAGCTATCTGTTTCTACTAATACTCAGTGCATGGGCCATGAAGACAAGTTTGTCAACATCAACACCATAGCTTGGCACATAAGAAATCAATATGCAGGAAAGAGTCTGCATGGTACGCTTTTCTTATGTTTTTTTTGTCGATAAGAAACAAACATTTTATTAATACTCAAAATGAAACACTACAATCATCCAAAAAAAAAGTCGTACAAGGAGTCCAACCTGAGAAACAAACCAGCAAATGGCCAAAAACAAAAAAGACCACCACCCGCACCAATCAATGGCAGGATGCTGTCCAACTGGAAATGATACACACAATTTCACATGATAGGTGTAGTTACGTAAAATAATATAAATAGAACCATACTCGTCATGCCAACAACAGCAATTCATAGAATTTAAAACTCCAGTTCTGCCACATTTTTGCAAACTGGGACCATACAAAACAAGAAAGATTACAAAACAGCAAAGACGAGCATACTGGTATAGCAATTAAGCGTAAAGCACAATTAACTCATACACGAATCAGCAAAAGAAATTTAAAGAAAGAGGGACTTTTAACAAAGAAAGGGAAAAAAAAGAAAGATAACAGAATAGCAAAGAAGATCATGTTGATGTTACAATTGAGTGAAAAGGACAATAAACTCATGAAAGAAACAGTAAAATAAATTTAGAGAGAAAGAGAGGAAGCGCGAACTTGTCGGAGGGAACAAGAATGGGTCCGAATGTATCTTTTTCCTCTCTGAAAGACGTCGAAAATGTTCTCCAACAAGAAGCGAAACGCAATGAATCTGCTACTAAAGACGTTGTTGATCCACCTGAGGATAGTCGACGAAAGGCTAAGAAGATCGCCATATTTCTGCGCTCTTTATACTCTCTACTTTATACTAGTCCTGCAAATAACAAAAAATCAACTACGGGAGAGAGAGTGAGAGAGATCGAATCCAACAAAGTAGCCAAATTAAGTGAAACAAGTGAAAATCTCAGAGGTACCAGAAGTTTAATGGAATCGGTGGACGTCGCCGTCGACGAGTTCGATCGACGTGAGTCAAATAGTTATCCAAGAAAGTGAAGAAGGGAAAATTACGATGACACCCCCTACCATTTATCCAATTTTTAAAACATATTCTAATTGTTTCTGAAATAACACTGAAACCACTATCGGATCAAGTAATTTTATTGGAAACTAAAAAAATTTATCTAATAATGTAATTTTATTGTAACTATTAAATTAATATCAAGTTTTAATGTTTGATGGGTTCCACAATTTATTCAGTAATTATAATAAATTAAATCTAAATAATATCGCAATATCAGACAACCCTAACAAACAATAATTAATTTTGGCATACATCTTTTTTCGTTTTTTCCCCTTTTGAATTGGGGATTAGCCTACATTCAGTACGTGACTCTCCGTTATTAATGTTATCCAGTGTCATCATTCAATAAAAATATAATAAAATAAATTTTAATTTTTTAACATGGGGTAGTTACCATTTTTTTGAAAAAATATGGGATAGTTATCAAATGATATAGAGAGATGATTATTAAAATATGTGATATTTATTTTTTTTATTCTCATATTTTTATTAAACAGTGACACTGGTGTGACGAAAAAAACATCGTGTGACCGTTGAAATGAATATTTTCTCATACATCTAGATAGAAAGGTTTTTATCCCACTAGACTAGTATAGTTGGCCACCCAACTTAGTACTTTGTCGAACGCATGTTGAAGAACACTAATATATGTCAAAGTTAGTATTTTTTTCCCAAAGTCTTGTAATTTCAGTAGTATTGATGACAGTAATAGATGGAATTGAAATATTATATAGGGTTACTTTTACTTTATACCTCAAAAAAATATTTCTATTCTCAATTTACATTCTTATGATATGAATTTGTAGCAATATGAATCTTATCCAAACTGTCCTTTAATTTTTTGTCATAAATTAAAACACATGAATTATAAGTGTGTTTTGGGCATGAAGATGAGGTGTGTCTATCGCTTCAAATCTTAATAGGTGATCAATTTAACATCGATTTATGCATCAAAAATAAAGTTTCGTTTATCAAATAGATGTTAAGTCTATCATGTACAGATCACATGAAGTGCCAACAACCTGTGAATTTATACATAAGCCCCATGATCGAAACACCTGCAATTCATGGACTTCAATTTATGATGAAAAACTAAACGATAGTCTGGGCAAGGTCCATATTACTACCAATTCATAACATTAATGTTTCGTTTTGTACGATAAAAAAATGAAATAATGAAAAATTTGAGGGATAAATAACACATGTTAAGGAAAGAAAATATAAATGATAGAAAAATTGATGGATTAATTTTCCTTCAAACTCACTTAAATCAATTCTTCAAAAATTAGGAGAAAAAGTGGACAGAAAATTAATTATGTGTGTTAAAATATATGTTATTTATTTATACATCTTTTGATATATCATATTTATTAATTACATATTATGCATACATTAATTTTATATATAGATATAATAATAATATGTATTTATATTCTTTTAATAAAAAGTAAAAGTAAAAAAATAAAAAATATTTGTTTCATCTTTATCGAACACAAAAAAATTAATTATTTTTATTTTTTATTCATTTTACCAAACACAAATGAGAGAAGTAAAATTTCTTCACTTAAAGAGATGAAAAGTGTATCACTTTTACTTTCTATCTTTTATTTTTTCATTCACCGTGCTAAACAGAGCATAATAAATTATATCAGTAAAATCAAAGTGCATTTTCTCTAGTAAGAGGGAATACTTATGAGACAAGATATAATTGTTCTTATATTGTTGTTTTACTCAATAATAAAAATATTTGATCGTTATTTATAAAAAACATAGATAAAAATCAAATCATGTAAATCTTTTGTGTCTATTTGTATGTGACTTATTTATTCGTTATTACTTTATTATCTAGCTCGATAGATAAATGTGGATCCTGTCACAACATTTATAATTTAGACAGCCACCCCTTCATTTTCAGATATAAAGCAAAAAATGCCAAATATCAAGGTATAAACTGAGGAATCCGCGACTTTTGTCAACTGCTTGGTGCTGGGCCACGCGCTCAATAGTCCTTCCTCCAACCGACGTGTGCATTCTACTTGTCATAAGTTGTAGAAAAGTGTCGTTGTCCCCCAAAATAGTCTGGATGAAAAGAATTTGGAAATTACCAAGCTAGAGCATTGTAGAACGTTAGTGTTTTAAACCAACTGGGCTAGCCCAGCTGGCCAGGCTCTCTGGGCTTTCAATGAAAGGTAAGGGGTTCAAAGTCTCTAGGGTGCAAAAAAGTGTCGCTACTTTGTAAAATAAGACCTTAATTGCTTGAATGAATCGTATCTAAATCTCTGATGTGAATCTTGAATTTCCGACAAACTGTAAGTCCTAATTTAAATGGTGTATGAGTTGAGGAACCGGTTCATACACCTAGACTTTGCCCTTAATTCTTACTCAGAGTAAGCGCGCCTCTAATTACTGAGGACAGACCATGAAATTTCCTCGTATCCGAAAAACAATAGTGTTTTATGAGTGATTGTATATATTTTGAGAGATTATCGCATGTTCAAAAAGTTTAGATTTAAGATAATTCTCGTTTTAAAAAAGTAATTCTTGGATAAATTATCTAAAATTAAGTGCAAAATATTAACGAGACATAGACATTGAGTCTGACTAACCAGTTCAACAAATTGATTGTTCTAACATAGCAAGGAATTCGCCGAAACATCATAACATAGTTAATTAAGTACTAAAACGATATCTCAAAAGCAATTAGGTATAGAGACTCAAAGTCCTTTTTACCCCCACGTAGTTTAGAGTAGAAATGATTGACAACCAACGTGTAAAACTCACAAGCATGTGGGGTTTGTAAACAAAGAGAAATCAATTACGGAATGAGACTATTATTTAGAAGACTGACTGCCCATCACCAAACACATATTTTCGTTGTATTGTGGTCCAATTTCTTTGGCCATAAGCGAAATATTCTTATTTTATTTTTATTTATTTATTTCTATTTTCCAAGTGGCATGATCTGTCACTTGGCTAGCTATTTTTCTCATATGAAGAGTCTCGTGTAGATATCTCGCTTTTACCAACTGATGGGACTTTTCTGAAATACTCCATGATGAAGACACGTGTCCTCGGTATTACCAAAACACTGTTGCTAAGATCAAGCATCATCGGCGCACAAAGGTCCTCGCCCCCGAGGTACTCGTCATATAGGATCATGGCATTCAGTACGTTTTACAACCAACACGTAGCCTCGGTCTGATATGGTACCTCGGTCGGTATCCCTCCCTCGGTTCCGAGATAAGCCTTTCCTCGGTGCCGAGGTGTACCCCGTCCTGGACGCCTCCTCTACTCCAGGATAAGCTATTGACGTACAGGTCATTAGCCTAGGCTAGTCTAGGCTATTCATCATGACCTCGTCTTACACAATTAGTGTCAGAACGTACTGGAATGCAGGGGCCACAGCCAATAGGGGATGGACGCGTGGCATATGATGTCACATCAAAGACAGAAAAACCGCATGTCGTTGCTGACACGCGACTTGGGAAAGCAAACGATTAATTACACCATTCTCTTGACGAGACTGCATTCAATGCGGTAAGGCTCGGAAATGAAAGGCAATAAATGTTCCTAATACAGAGCATTTATTGCATCCTCCCCGAGAGGAGTTCATTGTACCGTCGGCATCCCGATGACGCAGCATTGATTGCTCGGGACCCCGAGCAGTTAAGAAGAGAAGACATTCCTCATCAGAATCAGTGCGCACACTGCCTGTACCTAATGATCACCTACTGACTACACTGACAACAATCATGAGTTTTCGAGGTATAAATACTCCTTGCAAAAGGCAAGACGGGGATGCAACAAAAAACTCTTTACTACAATACACACTTAGTGTTTTCTCCTTCCTCTCTCTTTCTCAAAGACTGACTAGATCGTCGGAGGGGATACGCCGAAAAACACTCCGGTGCCCTTCTAACTTGTTCTTCTTTGTTCCAGGAACCTCTTTCAGCCTTACTGGATCATTCTTCCGCTCCCCCAGGGTCTCCCGTTGCCGTTTCAGGTTACCACCGGACCTCGCAGGCTGTTCCAAGCAGCGTGGCTGGTCACTCAACTGGCTCACTCGAGTTCACCAAGGGAGAGATCTGTTCTTGTTTTTTATATTGTGCAGGATCTTGCACGCACAATCTAGCGCCGTCTGTGGGAAACGACTAGTTTTCCTAGTTTTTTCTCTATAAAGAACAGTGACCATGGTGAATACTCGACAGAAAAGGAAATGACCCCACCAAAGGAGTCTCGAGTTACAGGCTCCCTGTCATCATGGAGGGAGGGATCACACCAATATGAATAAAAGTGCCTCTACTCAGTCAAGAGGGGTTACCCCTCAAACCAGTATGGGAATCAGGTCAAGAGGATCAGGCCCCTTTGCTCGTCAGCTGGCGGAGGTGATTGAAGAAAAGTTTGGCGATAGATTACGACAGCTGGAAAAGGACAATGTAAACGTCCTAAGTCGGCTCAACGAGTTTGCCGCCTCTGGCGAAGGGTCGAGGGATTCATTCCTTTCTCGTGGGCTTCCCGCCTGGGAGGCGGAAACGAAGGATCTAAGAAACCACCTAAACAACAAGGCAGAAAACTCTAGGGCCCCAAAGCGACCCAGAGCCAGCGAGCAACATCATGACAACCATTCAAGAAAGGTAAGGCCATTGGCCCTGGACGACCTCCGGCGAGGTTTGTCTAGACAGAGGAAGGGAGATGAATCCGAGGAGGACTCAACCCAATTCACACGACGCCCAGGAAATGAGGGGCTTACCGATGAACTCAAGGACTTCAGAAGGCATCCCGTCAGGGATGAAATTGATCTCAGAGCCCGGTTAGACTCCAGGAGAAAGGGTAAGGCTGTCCAGGATGAGGCCGAGGACGAAGTCA